AGTGAGGTGCGGGAAGGGGTGACTCACAGCTCCGTCCCCCCCGCCACTGCCACCCCTTCCGTCACACCAGGTGATGTGCCGTGCCCGGCCGTGCCCTGCCGGGAAGCCCTGTCCTTGGCACCAAACCCAGCGGGATCTGGCTGGTGGGGGCAGCCCCCAGCCCACATTTTTTTCCCCGGTGATCCCGGCACGCTGACGGGGATGGGCTGCAACACCCCACTTTGCTCAGGGACATGCCAACCCAGCGCTGTTCCCGGGATCCCAGGCTGTGCTGTGCGTAGACCCCACACTGACCACCCTGCAGCCCCCACAGCAATCCTTGCCCGGGATGGGGACCCCCGTGGCCCTGCTCCAAGAGATGAGAGCTCAGAGGATGCTCGGACACGAGGGATTTGGGACATGGGGTGTTTCTGGGTGGTGGCCAGACTCAGGGAGCCCTGTGCATAGATGTCCCTTCCCGCCAGCTCCCCCCAGCCCTGCCATGGGTGCACCAGCCCCCCAGGTGAGCCAGGCAGGGATGGCAGCAGTCCTAGAAGCAATTAACCAGCTTAACGAGCTGAAGAAGCAGCTTTCTGCCCTTGCTAGAGAGGCAGAGGGCACTCGGCACTGGGGTGGTGCTTTGCCCACTGTCACCACATTCCCTCACCAGCACCGGCTGGAGGGGACACAGAGGGCAACCGGTGCCGCTCTGGGGAGGAAGGAGAGACCATGTCCACCACATGCCAGCTTGGAGGTCCCCAAGATGCCCTCCCCTCTGGTCAGTGCCCTCCTCTGCCACCCCAAGGCCCCAGTGGGGGTAAATGGGTGCTTGTTATGGAAAAGCAGGGATGGATGGAGGCAGGATGGTGTATGCTGCACCCTATGGCTGGCTCATCCCCCACCCTCCTGCCACTGGGTGCCCCCTCTCCCTCAGTGGGTACCAGCCTGGCTGGGAAGTAACTGCAGCCCCCAGACCAGCCGGGTAAAGTCCGAACCGATGTCTCGAACACCGAATTCCCATCCAGGCCTGATGCACGACAAAGATGAAGGAGAGACAGTGGCGATTCACATGCCGGGAGGCTGGAAGGCGAATGATGCAGTAATGAACAATCTTAGAAAGATGCCAGCATCAGGACAGGGTGGGGGGAGGAGACTGGAGCACAATAAAACAATTAGGAAGGTGGTAATTACCAGTCTAATGAGATATCAGGTTGAATCCTAAAAGCATCAAGATTCTTTCACAGCAAGATGTAGCTGCTGCAGCATTCGTCCTCTGGGGTATTCTCTCGGACAAAACATTTCCTTTCCCGCAAGACCAACAGAAATTTGACAGGAGAAGAGGCTCGGTGATGCAGCCTCTGTCTCTGAAGCTGCCCAGTGCTCTCTTACCACCTGACGCGTGATCTTGCAGAAACGCCCCAAAGAGCAGCTTTATTTGGAGGAGAGACAGGCTGCTCCGGTCTTCCGAGGACGTGGAGACCCCAGTTCTCCTCATCTAAGAAGATCGTGGCAAGGAAAAGCAGAGGGAGGTTGCCCTGCTTGGACGTGTGGGCAGGTAGGCCTGGCTGCTGCCTGGGAAGGTAGGGGGGCGGGATGGGGGCCCAGCCCTAGGAGCTGCTTGCGTCTCCCGAGAGCTCCCCACAGCCCCTTCAACCATTCCCACGCGCATCCTCCCTCGGAGTGCCTCCGTCCTCTCCTCCGCACGCATCCCCCAGCCCATCAGTGGGGAGGCAGCTGCCTCCCCAGCCCTGCTGTCACCCTCCTGTGCCCAGCCCTGCTGCGCCCCATCACCAGCACCCCTCTCCCTGACACATCCTTCTTGCTCTTGGGGTTCCCTAACTCCCCATTTGCTCTGCCCGCAGCCGGGGACCACATCCCATCTCCCGCCATGGAGCTGAACCAGACATCCCCACCTCCCACATCGCCCGTGCTGGAGACCGATGGAGAAGACCCGTGCAGGATAGAGGTCACCGACGTGGTCGTAGACACTGTCACGCTGCTCATCTGCCTCTGCGGGCTGGCGGGGAACGGGGCCGTCCTCTGGCTCCTCGGCTTCCGCATCCGCAGGAACCCCATCACTGTCTACATCCTCAACCTGGCCGTCGCCGACTTCACCTTCCTCCTCTTCATGGTCACCTCATCCCTGCTCTACGTGATGAAGAACGTCTCCTGCTCCACTGTTGTGTCCTTGACGTACCTGAGGTCTCTCCTCCTGCTCTCGCTGTTCTCCTACAACATGGGCCTGTACCTCCTGACGGCCATCAGCATCGAGAGGTGCGTGTCCGTCCTCTGCTCCAGCATCCGCCGCCCCCAGCACTTGTCCGCCGTGGTGTGTGCCC